AACTCCCAGAATTCCCCAGCCAGCATGCTGGCTGGGGAATTCTGGGAGTTGAAGTCCGCACGTCTTACAGTTGCCAAGGTTGAGAAACACTGTCATAGAGTGTAGGCATCACACTCAAATTGTACCTTTCAATCAGTGAACAGGAGCTAAAGCAACCTCTCTAGATGGTATGATGTGAGCAGGATGTCTATCTCTGACTATTTATATGCAAATATATATGGACTGAAAATTTTAAAAAACAGTAAATATGGCAAGTGGACATTCAGATTTGCAGACTTACCATTCTATCAGTAGAACTTGCATCAGCTTCTGCTCACTTAGGGATTCATTGTCAATCTGAACAGAGATCCCTAACTTTCGCATGTAATTGTGTCAAGCTAAGCTTGTGGTTCGTTTGATTTTGGTTTAATATGTAAGCTTAGGCAATTGTAAATTAGAGAGTGAACTATGGATAAATAAGCCATGACTTAGTGCAATCAGTGAACCCAGGTTTAATATTTCCAGAGAATCTTTCATGTCCCATGGTGAGCAGGTTATTATGGGCTAAATGAACCAGATAGTGTGAAATTTATTAAAAGATTCAATGATTTCTCAAAGCTACAAGAAGACACCAAGGCAGACATGTCTCTCTCTCTCTCTCCCTCTATGTCAAAAAAGTCAAGATGGTGGCCACGACCATGCAATTGAACCGTGTCCCTTTTTACATTCATTGTGCACGCAGCACAATTTAAAAGGGGCAGTGCTTCAATTTCACTACGCCTATCCATGAATGTGTGTATTACTCCTGATGAATGTCACACCTTTCAGTTATTTATTTAGTATCTTTCCCAGCATCTATACTTCATTTTTTGGTACTCTTTCCAATCCAATGGAACGTTTGAAATAAATTATGTGAACAGGGTGGAGGCATCATATGTCAGCGAGACAACTCTCCAAAAGCAGAACAGAGTGGAGCTAAACGTAGTGTAGGGAGAGACGCCAGCAAAAAGAAAGAGACCCAGTCTGGTCTAGTGGTGAAGGCCCCAGGCTAGAAAGCAGGAGATGGGGAGTTCTAGGCATGTAGCCAGCTTGGCCAGTCACTCCCTCTCAGCCCAACACACCTCACAGGGTTGTTGTTGCGGGGAAAATAGGAGGAGAAAGGAGTATTAGGTATGTTTGCTGCCTTGAGTTATTTATAAAAATGCAGGATAAAAAAAGATAGAGTTAAAAAATGAACCAGGTCTGGCCAGGGACTATGGAAAAACAAAATATTAAATATTCCTCTAATTCATCCTTCTGGGGGTTGCAGTTGGACAACAGCTCTTAGTATTAGTGACCATTCCATTCTTATGTTCTTTCTTCCTGGTCACATGACCCAGAAGGGGCAAATGCAGTCTAGTGCACTCATATGGCCACTGCTGATAATGGAGCTGGAATGCTGCTTGTGCCTTCTGTACCTCTGTTAGCATTCTCCACTCCCTCAATGTACATTTTATGGATGAACACATCTGATGAAAATCAAGTGCACTTTAGTCCACTAAACTATAGACTGTGAAACTATGTTAATTTTTAAGGTAGCCCAAAATTCCTTCTTCTTTTTCTTTTGTGATTCCATCTATTCCACAAGAAAACATACAGATTTCCCTGGATTTAGGCTGGACTCTTGGTGACCACTTCCATGTAGTTTTATTGGCAATGTAGGAGAACTTTCTCCCTAGATTTCTTTAGTAATGGGGATCAGACACACTCTTTCACTGAAGCACACATTGTCTATTTCTGGTACTGGAGGCAGCGGAAGCAAAAATCTGAAAGGGGTGGGGATGCAACCCCGATTTAATTTAATAAAAACTAAAATATACATGTGATTGGATACCTCAGCAAATTATTGATCGGATATAGCACATCATTGGTTAATGAGCAATTTGGGGAGAGCAAATAGGCAGTATTTCCTGAACATAGATTCTTGAGAACTACTCTAGTTTATACTGTCTTGTTTCTTGTTTACCTCTAAGCATCCATTCCTAACTTATCAATAGTCCTTGCCCTTCTAAATGTTTTAAGGCTGAGATTATAGGTTTATGTTCCTGGGAAAATTTATTTGGGGAGGGAGTAATTTACAACTAACTTGAAGCTTTATTTTCTCCTTCAGTAACAAGAGGGATAAATATATTAGTAAAAAGAAAATGACATCTCCATTCCCTCCAAAACCCTATAAAAGAAACAGTTTTTTTTTAAAAAGGCAACATACTAGGTTTTTAAAACAAGTGAGAAAGCAGTCACATCCAGAAACTGAAGCACACCTGGGAGAGGAAGGGCGGAAGCCACAGATGTCTGATGCAAGGACAAAACGTAGGGACAAACATTTGATGCCATTCCACATGTGGTACCAATGTGGCATCATTTTAGCTTGCTGTGGATGCCATTGCAGGGAAATAATTTCTCTCACTGAAAGTCACCCAAGTTAAAGTCAATGATTCTAGAGTAATTCTAGAGTGATTTCTTGGGGATTATGAATCTGAAACACCCAACTGGCAATTATATGACTATATAAACAGAAATGCTGACAGCAAATCTTTCAGAAAAGTGGAAATCAGTGTGCAAAGTCAGATTGCAAAAATCCAGACAACTGTTAAATAGAATATATGTATGTATGTATGTATGTATGTATGTGTATGTGTGTGTATGTGTGTGTATGTATGTGTGTATGTGTATATATGTATATGTATGTATGTATGTGTATGTGTGTGTATGTATGTATGT